ACTGGGAGACTCCCAGTCCATCCCAGTCCGTCCCAGTCCATCCCAGTCCGTCCCAGTCCGTCCCAGTCTGTCCCAGTCTGTCCCAGTCCGTCCCAGTCCGTCCCAGTCCGTCCCAGTCCCTCCCAGTCCCTCCCAGTCCCTCCCAGTCCATCCCAGTCCCTCCCAGTCCGTCCCAGTCCATCCCAGTCCATCCCAGTCCGTCCCAGCGCGGCCACGCTGGGAGCGCTGCGGGGACAGCCCCGCCCGCCCCCGCCACCATCCCGGGTGACAGCGCGGCGGTGCCACCCGCCCGGGTGACGCCAGGGCGGTGCCACCCGCGCGTCCCCAAACCCCCCCGAGCCGATGAACTCGTTGCCAGCGCCGGCCCCGCGGCAGGTCGGGCGTGCGACACCTCGGGTGACCCCAGGGGACGGCCCCGCGGCAGGTCGGGCGTGCGACACCGCGGCCAGCCCACGGGTGACCCCAGGGGACGGCCCCGCCCGTGTCACCTCCCCTCCCGCAGTGCGGGACGCGGCACGGGCGGGGCGGTGACACCGCTCTGCGGGCGGATGGGGGAAACTGAGGCACGGGGAGGGTGGAGGAGGGGCGGAGCCGCTCCGGGGGGATTCCCCCCCTCCCCACGCTCATTAACAATGTCAATTAGCGACGGAGCCATCGGCTGCAAGGAGCGGCGCCCCCGGCTCCTGCCCCGGGCCCCCACTGGTGCCCCAGGGGAGCGGCCCCGCCCCGACCCCGCTGGGGTCCCACAGCGGGACCCCCGCACTGCGCACCCCTCGGGGCTGTCCTGTCCCTGTCCCCGTCCCTGTCCCTGTCCCTGTCCCTGTCCCTGTCCCTGTCCCTGTCCCTGTCCCTGTCCCTGTCCCTGTCCCTGTCCCTGTCCCTGTCCCTGTCCCTGTCCCTGTCCCTGTCCCTGTCCCTGTCCCTGTCCCTGTCCCCGTCCCTGTCCCCATCCCTGTCCCCATCCCCATCCCCATCCCTGTCCCGGTTCCTGTCCCTGTCCCCGTTCCTGTCCCCCTCGTCCCATTCCCTGTCCCCATCCCCATCGCCATCCCCATTCCCATTCCCATTCCCATTCCCATGCCCATTCTGTCCCCATCCTCATTCCTTGTCCCCATTCCCATTCCCATTCATTCCCTGTCCCTGTCCCATCCCTATTCCCTGTCCCCATCCCCATCCCCATCCCAGTCTCCATCCCCAGTCCCTGTCCGAATTCCCTGTCGCCATTCCTCGTTCCCCATTCCTGTCCCTGTCCCCATCCCCATCCCTGTCCCTGTCCAGCACGGGGGCAGTGTGGGTGGCCGGGCCGGGGCTCCGTGGGTGGACACGGTGACATTCCCGTTCTGTCCCCATCCCCACTCCCCATCCTTGTCTCCGTTCCCTGTCCCATCCCCATTCCCCGTCCCTGTCCTCATCCCTGTTCCTGTCCCCATCCCTGTCCAGCACAGGGGTGGCCGGGCCGGGGCTCCGTGGGTGGACACGGTGACATTCCCGTTAGGAAAGGCCACAGCCACCAGCGCTGAGCCGAGGCCGCTCCGTGCAGCAGCGACAGCTCCGGGACCGTCCAGAGCCACCCGTGTCCCCCTGCCACCAGCCCAGGGCAGCTCGGCCCCACAGTGCCACCTCCCAGCCCCATTCCTGATCCCCCAGGAATTCACCTCCTCTGGAATTCTCCTCTGGAATTCTCCTCCTGTCCCCTCCACGGTGTCCGGAAGGCGGCAGAGCCAGAGCGCGAATGTCACCGACATTGTCCCTGCCCGGATCCCTGGGATGTGGAGTGGGATGGAGGGAGGGACGGAGGGAGGGACGGAGGGAGAGATGGGGAGTGGGAGAAAGGAAGGATGGATGGAGGGATGGATGGATGGATGGATGGATGATGGATGGATGGATGGATGGATGGATGGATGATGGATGGATGATGGATGGATGGATGGATGGATGGATGGATGGACGGACAATCGGACAAATGGACAGACTCTGGGGATGGGACAGACAGCACCTATGGCACAGCTGGGATCCCTGGGAACACAGCAGGATTCCAGAGCCCCAAGAAGGCCACCGGACACAGGGGAGGACACACGGACAGGCCCCGCTTCCCTGCTCCCAGCTCTCCCGGTCGATCCCTTCTCCCAGTACCGCGGGCATGGATGTGACCCCGTGTGGTGCCAGAGCACGCTGGGCACTGCCACGGCTCCGGCACCGCTGTGACAGGATGGGGATGGGCATGGGATCATCCCCTTGGGATGGGGATGGGGTGGGATCATCCATTTGGGATGGGGACGGGTGTAGGATCATCCGCTCGGGATGGGGATGAGCACAGGATCATCCATCTGGGATGGGACCACCTGCTGGGACGGGCACGGGGGTGGGATCATCCCCTTGGGATGGGGATGAGCACAGGATCATCCATCTGGGATGGGACCACCTGCTGGGACGGGCACCCCAAATCCCATCCCGAGGGCTGCCTGCCCATGGAGCAGCCGCCCACCCCACCCCACCACCGCCCCATTCCCGTTTCTCCGCTCACCATCCTCTTCCTCCGGGCGGGATGTCCCTGGGATGTCCCCGGGATGTCCCCGGGATGTCCCCGGTGCCGCTCCAGCCCCGGCTCAGCACAGCGGGATGGATCCAGAGCCCGGAATTCACCCCAGCCCCCCGAAATCAGCGCAGCCCCCACAGCCGAGCCGCTCCTGCCTGGGCCTTCCTCCCTCCTCTGCCAGCCGGATCCGGGATGCGCCGCGGACGGAGCGGGGCTGGGCTCGGGATAAGGGCGGGGGGCTCTGGGGGGCTCCGCCCGGCTCCCCCCGTGCCGATGTCCCCTCTCCGCCCCGCTGTCCGCGCGTCCGTCGGGAGCCGCGGGGCCGGAGCCTCCCTGCGATTCCCGGGCTGTGCTGGGAGCGGGGAGTCCCCGCAGCGTTCCCGGGCTGGGATCCGCCGGGATCCTGTTTGCCCCGAGCCCCCCAAACCTCCCCGTCTTACCCCGCGCTCCCGGCCGGACCCCAGAGCGGGGGAGCCACCCCCCAGGCTGGGGACACGCTCCGGGGACCGCGGGGACCCTCCTGTCCTCGTCCCCGCGCGGGTGCGGGATGCGCTCGGGGCACTCCTGGCACCGGGGGTGGCAGCGGGGACAGCGCTGTCCCCACCCCGCGGGACTCACCGGCAGCTCCCGGCTCCGCTCCAACTTTGCCACAAGTTGAGACAAAGGCGGCGGGCGCCGTCCCCTGTGGCCTGTCCCCGCTGTCCCCAGACTGGCTGGTGCCACCAGGACTAATGAGGGCACGAGGGCGGTGGGCTCGGGGGCCGCACACGCTCACGCCCCGCATTAACCCTTCCCCTGCCGCCGCCTCCCCCGCCCTGGGGGGAGCCGGGCTCGCTCCTCCCGCGGGGCCCGGGACCCCCAGCCTGGGAAAGAGGGACAATCCCGAGGGTCACAGCCCCCAGGAGGAGGTGACACACGACAAGGAGCTCCCCCAGCTCTGGGGGTCACCGCCAACCCCATGAAAGGACTGGGGGGACAACACGATCCCAGTCCCGGGATGGCTGTGTCCCCATCCCGGCTCTGTCCCCATCCCGGCTGCATTCCAACTGTCCCACCGTGTCCCCATCCCAGCATCCCAGGACCACAGAACCCCTGGCAGTGGCGATGTGGCTGTGCCAGGTGTGGGATGTGGGATTTGGGATTTGGCCTGGCTGGTGCTGCCAGGTGGGAAGGGGTTCCTGACCATGCCAGGCCAGCTGTCCCCTCCTCTGGTCTCTAGGCTGTTGTCCCCAGCTGGTTGAAGTTGTCCTCCTGACTGTCCTGCACTGCCACCTTGTCTTTCTGTTCAGGTGTGCCCAGACCTCCATCCATCCATCATCCATCCCTCCATCATCCATCCATCCATCATCCATCATCCATCCATCCCTCCATCATCCATCCATCCATCATCCATCATCCATCCATCCTCCATCCATCATCCATCCATCCATCATCCATCCATCATCCATCCATCCATCCATCCATCCATCATCCATCCATCCATCATCCATCATCCATCATCCATCCATCATCCATCCATCCATCCATCATCCATCCATCATCCATCCCTCTCCCTTACTCGTTTTCCATCCCTCCATCTCCCCCCTCCCCTCTCCCTCCCTCCCTCCCTCTCCCCGGGGCGGGGACAGCGCTGGATCCCGCGGCTGTCACGCTGCCATCACTGTCACCTCTGCCATCGCTGTCACGCTGCCATCACTGTCACCTCTGTCCCCCGCCGGGCCCTGCAGGCCCCAGCTGTGACCCCGCTGCCCCGGGGAGGGGACACCGAGGGGACACCGAGGGGACACCGGCTGCGGCTGTGCAGGGACCCTCGGGGGGGGACAGAGGGGACACCGGGGACACAGCGGCTGCTGGCCCACGGACACGTCCCCAAGCGCTCCGTGGGGACAGAGGGGACAGGGGGACCCCCTTAGCTCGGGGGGGTTCCGGGAAGGAGAGACGGAGTGGGAGGGGGCTCTGTGCCGGGAGGGAACGGGGGATTTGGGGGATTTGTCCCCAGTGGGTACGGGGGGATTTGGGGGATTTGTCACTTGTGGGTACGGGGGATTTGGGGGATTTCTCACAGGTGGGTACGGGGGGATTTGGGGGATTTGTCACGGGTGGGTTTTGGGGGGATTTGGGCGATTTCTCACAGATGGGTACAGGGGGATTTGGGGGATTTACCCCAGTCCGCGTGGGGCAGGGTCCTGAGCGTGTCCGTGGGCCAGCAGCGCCCGTGTCGCGGGGGGTCCCGGTGCCATCCCGGGTTCCCATCCCGGGTCCCCATCCCGGAACGGGAAGGGGGCGGAGCCAGTGCGGGAGGCGTGGTCACGATCGGGGATTACAGCGCTCTATACCCATATATGGAATTGGGCGTGTCTATGGGTGGAGCCTCGGGAACGGCCGTGCTTACGGGCCGCGGCCGCTGATGGGCGTGGCCACCACCCATAAACGGCCATGGGCGTGTCTCTGGGCGTGGCCACGCCCCGGGGCGTGTCCGGGCAGGGGGCGGGGCCAGTGGCGGCCGCGATGGCGTCGCTGTTCGGCGGCGTGGAGGGGTGAGGGGCGCGGCGCGGGGCTCGGGGCTCCCCATCCCCACCGCCCCGCCCGGGCACCCCCAAAGCGGGGCCCGGGGCACGCAGCCGATGGAGGGGGGCTCGGACGGGCCCCCCAGGACCGGCTCCTGCCCCCGGGTGGGGTCAGCACCCCCATTTCAGCCCCCCCGAAAGGGGAGGTGAGGGGGGACGGGGGGGACAGGGACAGGGGGCGGTGCTGGCAGTGTCCCCCCTCTCTCCGCAGCGGGGGCACCCACTCCAGGGTGGTGCTGGTGTCCGGGGATGGCCAAATCCTGGCCGAGACCGAGGGACCCTGCACCAACCACTGGGTGAGCTGGGGGACAGCCCTGGCCCCAGGCTGGGGGGGACACGGGGACAGGGGGGCGGGACACGGGGAGGGGGTTTGGGACACGGGGACAGGGGGGGGGGACAGGGCGGAGCTGGGTTTGGGATGTGCGGATGGGTTTGGGACACGGAGCAGCGTGTGAGACACAGAGATCCAGGATTTGGAGACGGCTTTGGGACACAGAACGGGATGTGGGACAAGGAGTGGGATGTGGGACACGGAGCTGGGTTTGGGACACGGGGATGGGTTTGGGACACGCAGCAGGATGTGGGACATGGAGATATGGGATTTGGAGATGGCTTTGGACATGGAGCAGGGTTTGGGACATGGAGCGGGGTGTAGGACACGGAGTGTCGCTGTTTCTGGTTGTCCCCAAGCTCGTGGACACTTGGGTGGGACACAGCCACTGCAGGCGGTGCCACGGTGTCCCTGCACCCAAAAAACCCATGAATCATGGGTCACCTCAGGGTGTCCCTATGCCCCAAAACCCATGTGGGACTCCCGGGGTGGCCTCAGTGTCCAAAAACCCACATGGGACCCCCGGGATGGATCATAGGTGACCTCAGGGTGGCCCTACACCCAAAACCCCATGTGGAACCCTTGGGTGGCACTGGGGTGGCATCAAGGTGTCCAAAAACGCGTGTGGGACCCCCAGGGTGGCCTCAAGGTGCCCAAAACCCCACGTGGCACCCGCGAGGTGGCACCTTGGTGACCTCAGGGTGTCCAAAAGCCCGCATGGCACCCTCGAGGTGGCACCTTGGTGGCCTCGAGGTGTCCAAAAGCCTGCATGGCACCCTCGAGGTGGCACCTTGGTGGCCTCAGGGTGTCCAAAACCCCACATGACACCCCCGAGGTGGCACCTTGGTGGCCTCAGGGTGTCCAAAAGCCTGCATGGCACCCCGGGTGTGGCACCTTGGTGGCCTCAGGGTGTCCCCTGGCGTGTCACAGCTCATCGGCTCCGAGAAGTGCCTGGAGAGGATCGAGCGCATGGTCAGCGAGGCCAAGAGCAAAGCGGGCGTGGACCCCCAGGTGCCCCTGCGCTCGCTGGTGAGCCCCCCGCGCTGTCCCCGAGCCCTGTGCCACCCCCCCGGTGCCACCACGGCGGTGACGGTGGCCCCGGGTGTGGCAGGGGCTGTCGCTGAGCGGAGGGGACCAGCAGGACGCCATCGGGAAGATGACGGAGGAGCTGCAGCGCCGCTTCCCGCACCTGAGCCAGAGCTACTTCATCACCACCGACGCCGTGGGGGCCATGGCCACGGCCACCGACCACGGTGGGGTTTGGCCTTGGGCCCCTTGTCCCTGGCCCCATCGTCACTGCCCCTGTTGTTCCTGCCCCCTTGTCCCTGTCCCCATTGTCACTGCACCCCTTTTCCCATCCCTGTCACCCTTGTCCCTGGAGGTTGGGATGGCGTTGGTGACACCGGGCACCATGTCACCCCGCACCCCCTGCTGACCCCGTTCCCGATCCCGCTGTTCCCAGCCTACTGGATCGCTCACCAGGCAGTGAAGATGGTCTTTGACTGCATGGACAACCTGGAGGTGCCGCCCCACGACGTCGCCTACGTCAGGCAGGCCATGTTCGACTACTTCCAGGTGCTGCCGGGGGTTTGGGGTGCTTGGTGGGATTTGGGATGGGTATTGGGGTTCTTGGGGAGGTTTGGGTGGGTATTAGGGTCTTGGAATGGCTTTGAGATGGGTTTTGAGGGATCTGGGATGGGCATCAAGGTCTTGAGGGGCTTTGGGATGGGTGTTGGGGTATTGAGGGGGGTTTGGGATGGGTTTGGGGGTCTTGGGGACCTTTAAGATGAGTATCTGGGATCTTGGGGGGATTGGGATGTGTTTTGGGATGGGTGTTGGGGTCTTGAGGGGGGTTTGGGATGGGTGTTTGGGACTTGGAAGGGCTTTGAGATGGGTTTTGAGGGATTTGGGATGGGTAACAGTGTTGGGGAAGTTTTGGGATGGGTCTTGAGGGGCTTTGGGATGGGTGTTGGGGTCCAGGGGGGTTGTGGGATGGGTATCAGAGGTCTTGAGGGGTTTGGGAATGGTTTTGGGGTCCTGGAGGGGTTTTGGGATGAGTATTGGGGGTCCTGAGGGGCTGGGATGTGTGTTGGGGTTTTGGGAGGGCTTTGGGATGGGTCTCAGGGGTCTTGGTGGGTTGGGATGGGTTTTGGGGTCCTGGAGGGGCTCTGGGATGGGTGTTGGGGTCTTGGGGTGGCTCTGGGCCGTGTTTTAGGGTCCTGGGGTCAGGGCTGTGTGCCAGGACCTGGGGTCACCCCCAGCTGTACCCGGGGTGCCCAGGAGGGGACATTGGGGTGCCCAGGAGGGGTCCCCAGACCTCACCCATGGCACCCCTGCCCCGACCCCACAGATCTCGGACAGGATGGGGCTCCTGACCCACCTCTACCGCACCTTCGAGAAGTCCAAATTTGCGGGATTTTGCCAGAAACTGGCGGAGGGTAGGAAATTCCCTCCCAGGGAATCACCCCATCCCTGTCACCTGTTTGTCCCTGTTTGTCCCCATGCCCATTGTCCCTGCCCAGACTGTCCCTGCCCTGTTTGTCCCCATCCCCATTGTCCTGGTCTCCCTCATCCCTATCCCGTTTGTCCATGTCCCCCTTTCCATCTCTGTCCCCCTTGTTCCCATCACCTGTTTGTCCCTTGTCCCCCTTTTTCCCTGTCCCCTTTTGTCCCTGTCCCCCTTTATCCCTGTCCCCTTATCCTTGTCCCTGTCCCCCTTTATCCCTGTCTCGATTTGTCCCTGTCCCCCTTGATCCCTGCCCCCTTATCCTTGTCCCTGTCCCCTTATCGCTGCCCCCTTATCGCTGTCCCTTTGTCCCTGTCCCCTCGTCCCTGCCGCTGCCACTCCCTGCTCTCTGCCCCGGGCGCACCTTGCCCCCGAGCACCCTCTGCCCTCCTCGGGGTGGGGACACCCAGCTGCCACCCCGGGGTGGGGGCGCAGAGGAGCGTCCCACGTCCCCGTGGGTGCCACCCCCAGGTGCCCAGCTCGGCGACCCCCTGTGCTGCCACATCTTCACCAAGGCCGGCGAGGTGCTGGCGCGCCACGTGGTCGCCGTGCTGCCCAAAATCCACGAGGTGAGGCCACCGCCGCGCGGTGCCCCCGCGCCCTGCCGCGCGTCCCCGCGCCCCCTGAGTGTCCCCACCCCGCAGAGCCTGTTCCGGGGCGAGCTGGGGCTGCCCATCGTGTGCGTGGGCTCGGTGTGGAACAGCTGGCAGCGCCTGCGGCCGGGTGAGCGCAGCGGGGCCGGTGGCCCCGCGCGGGGCCGGGCCGTGGCTTTGGGGTCGCCCGTGACGCCGCCGCTGTTGTAGGGTTCGTGCCGGTGCTGGAGCGGGCGCGGCACGCGGCTCGCGGGGACTTCTCCAGGTTCAGCCTGCTGAAGCTGAGGCGCTCCTCGGCGCTGGGGGGAGCGCGGCTGGGGGCCAGGCACGCGGGCACGGCGCTGCCGCTGGAGCGCGCCGGCAGCGTGGACGTGTTCTACACGCACGCCTTCGGGGAGCCGTGACCCCAAAAGGGGACGGCGCCCCAGAACGGCCCCCCCGAGCGGCCCCCCGGGGGGACGGGGCCGGGCCGTGTGTGGGGTCTGTGGGGTCTGTGGTTCGGCAATAAAACGGTTGCACTGAGGATTGGGGATGGGAATAGGGCAGGAATGGGGATGGGGGAGTGGGAATGGGGTGGGAATGAGAGTGGGGGAGTGGGAACAGGGAGGGGGATGGGAGAGTAGGATTGGGGATGGGAATGGGGTGAGAATGGGGACTGGGGAATGGGAATGGGAAAGTGGGAGTGGGAATGGGAATGGGAAAGGGGGAGTGGGAAATAGGGTGGGAATGGAAATGGGGGAGTAGGATTGGGGATGGGAATGGGAGAGTAGGATTGGGGATGGGAATAGGGTGGCAATGGGGATGGGGGAGTGGGAATGGGAAAAGGGGAGTGGGAATGGGGTGGGAATGGGGTGGGATAGGGAGTGTGGGAATGGGAGAGTGGGAATGGGGCAGGATGGGACCAGGAGTGAGGGGATGGAGCAGGATGGGAATGGGGCAGGATAGGGATGGGACTGAGAGGATGGGGAGTGGGAACGAGAGCATGGAAATGGGGCAGGATGAGGATGGGAAGGGGGCAGGATGGAGGCAGGAATGTGGGGATGGGAGAGTGGGAATAGGGCAGGATGGGAACGGGACTGTGGGGATGGAGCAGAATGGGGCAGGATGGGGGTGGGAGCACAGGGGTGAGGCAGGGTGGGGCTGGATAGGGATGGATGGGATTTAAGGATGGGGAGTGGGAATATAGGGTGGGAGTATGGGGATGGGGCAGGATGGAACCAGGAATGGGGATGGGGCAGGATGGGGAGAACAGGAATGGGGATGGGAGAGTGGGAATGGGGTGGGATAGAGATGGGGCAGGATAGGAATGGCATGGGATTGGGAATAGGAGTAAGATTGTGAATGGGATTGGAAATGGGAACAGGACTGGGATTGGGAATGGGAATGGGAATTGGGACTGGGGTGCTGAGCCTGCCAGCACAGGCAGGGAGTGGCTCTGCATCCAAGGAAAAGCAGGAAGGGGAAAATCTCAAATATTGGGATCAGGAACAACATCCATGACCTGGGAATGGACGTGGGGCTGCTGGAGCAGCTTTTGGGGGAATTCTCACTTAAAAGGGGAAACAAAAAAAGGGAAAAAATCCCTTTTGGGTTCGTTTTACCAGGAATCAAAAGTGCCCAGAAAGGTGAAAGTGCTGGAAAATCCTCCAGGAGGGAAATTCCCAAGCAGAGCCACCTCAGGCTCCAAACTGGGAATGACTGGGATCACTGGGAGGGGCGGGGCGGCCAAACCCGCTCACGGAGACCCCGCAGTTTTCCAAGGAAAACTCCGGCCCCGCTCCCTTCCAAAAAACGTTTATTTGGGATAACACCTCGTTTGAAATTTACAGCATTGGGGGGGTGGGGGAAGGAGGGAATGGGGGGAGAAATCCAAGGAAAAGCGGGAAAAGGAGGAGGTGAAAACGTGGGATCGCTCCAGGGGACGCATCCCGTCCTGCCCAGCCAAAAACGGCCCCAGATGGGTTTGGAGGGGGGATTCCGTGGGGCTGCTGCTCCCAGGGGGGCTGGGGAAAGCGGGACGTGCCGGAATTCCATGAGCTCAGCCCTGTTCCCGCTCCGGCGGCGCCGATCCCGCTGCTCCGTGAGCTGCTCGGCTCGGGGGTTGCCAGGGATGAGCAGAGCAGTGGGGCTGCTGCTCTCCCAGCATTCCCAGCAGCTCCCTCCTTCCCTGGAAAAGGGGTCGGGGAGCCTGGAACGCTCCTGGCTTCCCTGCTCTGGGATTTCCAGCCCCGAGAAGGTCCCGTTTTCCAGGGATGGGCTTTGTAACCCTGGGAGGCTCCTGCTTTCCCTGAGCAGGCATTCCCGACCCCAAGGAGATCCTGGTTTTCCTCTGCAGGGATTCCCAATCCCAAAAAGTTCTGATTACTCTGGATAGACATTCCCAATCCCAAAGAGCTCCAGCTTTCCTTGGATAGGGATTCCTGACCTGGAGAAGTTCCTTTTTTTTCATGGATTCCCAACCCTGGGAAGTTCCTGATTTCCTTGGATAGGGATTCATAATCCCAAAGAATCCACTTTCCCTGGATAAGGATTCCCATCCCTAAAGAGCTCCTGATTTCCCTGGACAACGATTCCCAATCCCAAGGAACTCCTGATTTCCTTGGATAGGGATTCACAATCCCAAAGAATCCACTTTCCCTGGATAAGGATTCCCATCCCTAAAGAGCTCCTGATTTCCCTGGTCAGGAATTCACAATCCCAAAGAACTCCTGATTTCCTTGGATAGGGATTTCTGACCTTGGGAAGCTCCTGATTTCCTTGGAGAAGGATTCCCAATCCCAAAGAGTTCCTGATTTCCTTGGATAGGGATTTCTGACCTTGGGAAGCTCCACTTTTCCTGGAGAGGGATTTCCAATCCCAAAAAGGTTTCTAATTTCTCTGGATAGGGATTCCCAATCCCAAAGAGATCCTGATTTCCCTGGATAGGATTTCTGACCTTTGGAAGCTCCTGCTCTCCTTGGACAGGGATTCCCAGTCCCAAGGAGCTCCTGATTTCCTTGGAGAAGGATTCCCAATCCCAAGGAGCTCCTGATTTCCTTGGAGAAGGATTCCCAATCCCAAGGAGCTCCTGATTTCCTTGTTTAAGGATTCCCAATCCCAAGGAGCTCCTGATTTCCTTGGATTTCTGAACCTTTTAGAACCTTGGGAGTGGCCAGGGTTTAGGGAGCTGCAGCTCCCATGGATGGGGAAGGAAATTCCTGGGATCAAAATCTCCAGGATCCCTGGAAAAGGGATCAGCACCAGGATATTCCCACCACATCCCAAAATATCCCTCATCCCAACAGAGGGCCCCTCTCTTTTCCCAGGAATTCAGTTTTCCTTGGATTTTCGCCTGTGAGGAATTAGGGCTGTAGTGTTGGATAAGCTGAGGAATTCCTTAAGGGGAAGAGGAATTTGGGGAAATCCAGGTTTCCCCAAAAACCTCTGGAATTGGCAGGATCCCCCTGCTCAGCTTCCCTATGGAGGAATTTCGGGATTGCACCTTGGAACCCTTCACTTCCAGCAGGAAAAATCCCATTCCAGAAAAATCAGGGAAAATCCCATTCCAAAAAACCAGGGGAAAACCAGTCCCAATCCTAAAAATCCTCCAAAAGCAGGAAAACCAGATTTTCCCACCACTGACTTTCCATGATTTTTCCATGATTTTCCCATTATTCTTCTGTGATTTTCCCATGACTGATTTCCCAGGATTTTCCATGATTTTTCCGTGATTTTTTTTCACGATTTTCCCAAGATTTTTCCATGATTTTTTTCCAAGATTTTCCCGCTGGCGGGGTCGCCACAAATCCCAGGAAGCCAAAAACTGCCAAGAAAAAGTGAGGAAAAGCCAGGGAAAAAAACAAAAAGCAAAAAAAACAAAAAAGGGAAAACCAGAAGTACTTGGAGCTGGAGCAGATCCCGGTGCTGGAGCCGCTCCGGGCTCTTCCCATGTCCCAACTTTTCCCTGGAGCAGGGAATCAGTCTCTGGCCAGGCCATTCCCCAATTTCCGAGGTCAGTATTTCACTCCGGGAACGAATTCCTTGGCATCTGGATTCAAGTTGCTTTTGCTCTGGAAAAAGGATGGGAATGGGATTTGTCAGTGGTGGGAATTCCAGGGATTCCTGGGATGGGTCAGGGGTTCCCAAGGTTTGGGGTCTCAGGTTGGATTTGGAAAAATCTGGGGTTTCTGTGGGAGGTGGCATCACGTGGAGAGCAAATTTATGGAATCTTGGAATGGTTTGGGTGGGGAGGGATCCTGAAAATCCTGAAATCCTGAAATCCCAAAGGATTGGGGTCTCAGGTTGGATTTGGGAAAATCTGGGGTTTCTGTGGGAGGTGGGATCACGTGGAGAGCAAATTTATGGAATTGTGGAATGGTTTGGGTGGGGAGGGATCCTGAAAATCCTGAAATTCCTGAAATCCCAGCCAATCCCATCCTGAAATCCCAGCCAATTCCAGCCAATTCCAGCCAATCCCATCCTGAAATCCCAGCCAATCCCAGCCATTCCAGGTGGATCCAACCTGGCCTTGGACACTTCCAGGGATCCTGGGCCAATTCCAGGAACTGGGCCAGTTTTAAGGATGGGACAATTCCAGGGATGGGAGATTTCCAAGGACGGGACAATTCCAAGACTGGGAAAATTCCAAGAATTGGTCAATTCCAGGGATTGGGCAATTCCAGGGATGAGGCAATTTCAAGAATGGGACAATTTGAGGGACAGGAGAATCCCAAGGATGGGCCAATTCCAGGGACAGGAAAATTCCAGGGATTGGCCAGTCCCAGGGATGGGAAAATTCCAAGGATGGGACAATTCCAGGGACAGGACAATTCCAAGGATGGGAAAATTCCAGGGATGGGGCAATTTTAAGAATGGGACAATTTGAGGGACAGGAGAATTCCAAGGACAGGACAATTCCAGGGATTGGACAATTCCAAGGATGGGAAAATTCCAGGGATGGGGCAATTTTAAGAATGGGACAATTTGAGGGACAGGAGAATTCCAACGACGGGACAATTCCAGGGATTGGACAATTCCAAGGATGGGCCAATCCCAGGGCTGGGACAATTCCAAGACTGAGGAAATTCCAAAGATTGGTCAATTCCAGGGCTAGGAGAACTCCAGGGATTAGACAATTCCAAGAATGGGGCAATTCCAGGGATGGGAGAATCCCAAGGATTGGTCAATTCCAGGGCTAGGAGAATTCCAGGGATTAGACAATTCCAAGAATGGGGCAATTCCAGGGATGGGACAATTCCAAGGATGGGAGAATCCCAAGGATTGGTCAGTTCCAGGGACAGGAGAATTCCAAGGATGGGCCAATCCCAGGGCTGGGACAATTCAAAGGACTGGACAATTCCAGGAATAGGAGAATTCCAGGCATTGGACAGTTCCAGGGATGGGGCAATTCCAAGATTGGGAAAATTCCAAGGATTGGTCAATTCCAGGGCTAGGAGAATTCCAGGGATGGGCCAATTCCAAGGATTGGTCAGTTCCTGGGCTAGGAAAATTCCAGGGATTGGACAATTCCAGGGATGGCAAAATTCCAAGGATGGGACAATTTCAGGGATTGAACAATTCCAAAGATGGAAGAATCCCAAGGATGAGCCAATTCCAAGGATTGGCCAATTCCAGGAATAGGAGAATTCCGGGCATTGGACAGTTCCAGGGATGGGAAAATTCCAGGGATGGGGCAATTTTAAGAATGGGACAATTTGAGGGACAGGAGAATTCCAATGACGGGACAATTCCAGGGCCAGGAGAATTCCAGGGATGGGACAATTCCAAGGACGGGACAATCCCAAGGATGGGACAATTCCAAGGATGGGACAATCCCAAGGATGAGCCAATCCCAGGGCTGGCACAGTTCCAAGGCGGGGCTGCTCCTCACCAGGATGTCCTCGGATCCGTGCCCGTCCCCCACGGAGAGGCCGTGGAGCTGCTGCTGGAGCTGCCCCATTCCCTGGGGAAGATCCCGCGCCGGGATGAACCAGTCCTGGTCCTCCTCCTCCAGCATCTCCTGGAAGCAGCGATCCAGGAATTCCTGCTCCTGCAGCTCCTCCTCCACCTGCCGGAGACATTCCATGGGAAGGAAATCCCGGGGTTTGCCATGGGAAGGAAATCCCAGGGTTTTCCACGGGAAGGAAATCCCGGGGTTTTCTGTGGGAAGGAAATCCCGGGGTTTTCCACGGGAAGGACCTGCAGCTCCAAGGAGCTCATTCATGGAATTCTTGAGGTTGGAAAAGCCCTCAGAGATCCTTTCTGTCCCGTTAAATCCAACAGGAATGGGGATTCCAGCTCTTTTCCAAGAGGAGTATTCCCAGTTTTCCCAGCTTCCCTCTCATCCTGCTGCCATTCCCAAACCCCAATTCCCACCCGGCTCTCCCTGTCAGGGAATTGTGGAGCTCCAGAAGGTCCCTGAGCCTCCTTTTTTTTTCCCAGGAATCCCTTTTTCCCAGGAATTTCCTTTTCCCAGGAATTCCTTGCTCCAGGAATGGTGGATGTGATCCCAGAGCTTTCCCAGCCTGGAATTCCAGGAGCTGCCCCGGCAGGGGTGTGGAAGCAGAGGATGGGGCTGGGAATCTCAGCTGCTCCCATTTTCCTGGGGTTTTTTTCTGGATTTAGGAGACTCCAAGAGGAGCCAATCCTCAAAATTTTGATCCATGAATAGCTGGGGAAAGCCTGAGTTTTCCATGTTCACCTGGAAAATCCAGGGAATTCTCAGAGTTCCTAAAGGGGCCCAGGACTGGGGACAAAAAAGGGACAGGACACAGGGAATGGCTTCCCACTGGAAAACTGGAGTTCAGCTGGGATTTGGGAAGGAATTCCCGCAGAGAAATTGGGATCTAAAACCCAAATATCCCGGGAATGTCAGCTCATCCCGGCAGGAGGGCGATTATCCCAGGATTCTGCACGTCCAGGTGAACATTCCCTGTTTTCCAGCCTGGATGCTTCCCTCAACTCCATCCTGTGCTGGATCCATGGGAAAGGAATTTCAGGATCCACGGGAATTTCTGGATCCATGGGAAATTAATTTCCAGATCCATGGAAAATTGAATTTCTGGATCCATGGGAAAGGGCTGGAAAAGCACCTGGAGAGCTCCATCCCATTGGATGGGTGCCCCAAATCCCAGCTGGAAAATCCAGGGAAGCTGCGTGGCTTTGGAAAATTCCGGAAGAGGGAAAACCTCTGGAGGAAAATCCAGCCCCAAAACATGGAATGGGAATGTGGGAATTCCCTTTTCTTTCCCAGCCTTCCTGGACACCCTGGAGATGGGAATCGGAGCCTGGGAATGTTTTAGGGAAGGGAGGAGTATCCAGGGAAAAGCTCCTGGAACGACTCCAGGGAATGTCCTGGGATTGGGATGAGGAGCCAAAGCTCTTCCAGCTCATTATTCCCAAATTCCAGAGCTGTCTGACTCCCAGCACGGCATTCCAGAAGCTCTGCCCGCTCCAGAAATTCCCTGAAATCCAGGATTTCACCCCAAGCTGGGATCACCCAAATTCCAGGGGGGGATCCCGAGGAAAGGGAAGGAGAATCCCAAAAACTCGGGAGAAGGGAATGGTAACGCCTCCACCCCTCGGGAAGGATCACAGGAATTGTTTCCCTGCTTTTTTCCAGCTTTTCCAGGTGGATCCAACTCTGCCCTGAGCCTCTCCCATCAAAGCACAACATTCCCGGATTGTTTTCCCTATGGATACACACGAACTGGGAACCACCCCAGGCTGAAATCCACCCTGAATCCCAAGAATTCCTGGATGAGGAATTCTCTGGGAATCAATCCCAGGCTGAAATCCATCCCAAATCTCAAGAATTCCCAGCTGTGGGAATCTCTGGGAATCCCCCAGGCTGTCCCCAATCCCGGAATTCCCAAATGTGGGAATCTCTGGGAATCCCCCCGGGCTGTCCCCAATCCCAGAATTCCCAAATGTGGGAATCCCCCCGGGCTGTCCCCATCCCAGAATTCCCGGCTCTGGGATCCCCCCGGGCTGTCCCCATCCCGGAATTCCCAAATGTGGGAATCCCCCCCAGAATGAACCCCAATCCCAGAATTCCCAAATGTGGGAATCCCCCCGGGCTGTCCCCATCCCAGAATTCCCGGCTCTGGGATCCCCCCGGAATGAACCCCAATCCCGGAATTCCCAGCTGTGGGAATCCCCCCGGGCTGTTCCCAATCCCGGAATTCCCGGCTCCGGGATCCCCCCGGGCTGTCCCCATCCCGAATTCCCGCTCGGGATCCCCCCGGGCTGTCCCCATCCCGGAATTCCCAGCTCCAGGATCCCCCCGGGCTGTCCCCATCCCGAATTCCCGGCTCCGGGATCCCCCCGGGCTGTCCCCATCCCGGATTCCCGCTCCGGGTCCCACCTGCCGGTCGAAGTCCTCCTCGTTCTCCATCCACATGTACTCGGCGAAGGGGTCGTGCTCGTGCTCCTGGCGCCCCGTCCCGCCCGGCTCCCCCGTGCCCGCGGGGCCGGGCGCCGCGCCGGCGAGCTCGGAGCCATTCATCCTCGGGACTGCCGCGGGGGTCTGGGAACGATCCCAAGGGATCCCGAAGGGATTCCGGGGGCCATTCCCGCGCTCTGTCCCTCCAGCCCGTTGTGTCCTCTTTCCTACAATCCCTGATCCCAAAATCCCAACCCTTCCTGTCTCCATTCCCCCCTTTTTCCCTCTCCAGCTCTCCTGGAGCCCCTCCAGGGACTCTGGAATTCCCTGGAATTCCCCCTTCTCCAGGGGAACATTCCCAGCTCTCCCAGCCTGGCTCGCGGCATCTCCGTGGCACAGGAAGGGTTAACCAGCAGAATTCCTTCCCCAAATCCATTCCCTGGTGAGCAGGAGCAGCAATTCCAGCCGGGAATTCCACAGGGAATTCCTCATCCCTGGCTCTGCTTCCCAGCCCCGTTCCCTCTGGAAAAGGGGAAGGGAAGCCCAGCTTGGATTTGGGATCTCGGATCCCTTTTCCCACCTGAACCCAAAATTCCAGGATTCCATCCACGGTTTTGCAGCCACTCCCGAAATCCCAAATCCTGCTGGAATACCACAGCTCCTGGGATTCCAAAACTGGAATTCTCCCGGGATTTCAGAGCTGGAATTCTCCTGGGATTTCAGAGCTGGAATTCTCCTGGGATTCCACAGCTGGAATCCTCCCAGGATTCCACAGCTGGAATTCTCCCGGGATTCCAAAGCCCTGCACTGGGCTGATTGGAAAACAATCCCAAATATCCCAGAGATATCCCAAACCCCGGCTGGAGGGGGAATCTGGGGCAGAGACCTCCCGAAATGGGAGCGTGGGGAACCGGGGTGTGCCTGACCCCGTGGAATGGGAATGGGAACGGGAATGGGATTGGGGATGGGATGGGAATGGGAATGGGAAGGGAATGGGAACAGGAACAGGATTGGGAATGGGATTGGGATGAGATTGGGAATGGGATGGGATAGGGAACAGGAATGGGAACGGCATTGGGAATGGGATTGGGACAGGAAGGGGAATGGGATGGGAATGGGAAAGAAAAAGGTAAAGGGAATGGGATTGGGGATGGGGATGGGATTGAGATTAGGGATGGGAATGGAACAGGAACAGGATTGGGGCAGGAATGGGAATGGGATTGGGATAGGGAACAGGAATGGGAACGGGACTGGGAATGGGATGAGATTAGAAATGGGAATGGAATGGGAATGGGATTGGGAAAGGGAACAGGAATGGGAACGGGATTGGGAATGGGATGAGATTAGAAATGGGAATGGAATGGGAATGGGAATAGAACGGGATGGGAATGGGAACAGGACGGGAAATGGGAACGGGACTGGGAATGGGATGAGATCGGAAATGGGACTGGGACGGGAATGTGAACGGGACGGGGCAGGGACGGAGGCGCCGATCCCGGCCCGCCCCCGGCGCACCCGGGGCTCGCTCGGGCTCCCGCGCGGGGCCGGGCCGGGCCTGCGGGGGTTCAGCCCTGCCCCCCAAGTTTTGGGGTCAGGAATGGGGGGGGACCGGGCTCTGCACCCCCAAACTGGGGACACCGGGGAGGGTTCAGCCCTGCACCCCCAGTTTTGGGGTCAGGAACGGGGGGAATCCAGCCCTGCACCCCGATATTTGGGTCAGGAATGGGGGGGACCCGGCTCTGCACCCCCAAATTGGGGTCAGGAATGAATGGGGAGGGGGTTCAGCCCTGCACCCCCAGTTTTGGGGTCAGGAATGAATGGGGAGGGGATTCAGCCCTGCACCCCCAGTTTTGGGGTCAGGAATGGGGGGATCCAGCCCTGCACCCCCAAATTAGGGTGAGGGGTCAGCCCCGCACCCCCAATTTTGGGGTCAGGAACACGGGGGTTCCTCAGCCCCGCACCCCAAACCGGGCAGAGCACGGCGGGGGAGGAGGACCCCAAATTCCGGTGCCCCCCCCGAGCGCACTTTTGGGGTCACGGGGGAGTTCAGCCCAGCCCGCACCCCAAAAGCGGCGAGTCCCCTTTTCGGGGGGTCCCCACCGCGCGCCCCCCGTGCCCGGACCCCCCCCCGGCCGCCGCGGCGCCGCCTCCCCGCGGTGACGATCCCAAAGGAGATCCCACAGGAGATCCCACAGGAGATCCCAAAGATCCCAAAGATCCCAAAGAGCCCGGCCATGCCGGCGGGCGGCGGCGCCTCCTCCGCGCCCCCCCAAACCCGGGGTCCCCCGCGCCCCCCGGCCCCCCTGGACCCCCTCGGACGGTGAGTGCCCCCCCTGGAGGTTCCGCGGGCATTTTTGGGGTGCAGGGCGCAGTTTTGGGGTCTCCGTGTCCTGGGGGATCCCCCGGACGCTCCGCGGGCAGTTTTGGGGTGCAGGGAGCAGTTTTGGGGTCTCGGTGCCCCGCAGGATTCCCTGGACGCTCCATGGCCAGTTTTGGGGCTGCAGCTGCAGTTTTGGGGTGCAGGGCGCAGTTTTGGGGTTTCCATGTCCTGGGGGAGCCCCGGAGCCCCCGGACGCTCCCTGGGCAGTTTTGGGGTGCGGGGCACAGTTTTGGGGTCTCCTGTAGGATTCACCCCTCGGTGTGACCCCAAACCCATTTCCTGCTGCGAGCTGGGATTTTTGGGGTGCAGGGAGCAGTTTTGGGGTTTCTGCGTCCTGGGGGATTCCCTGGAAGCTCCATAGGCAGTTTTGGGGAGACACCAGGAAAGGGGGACCCAAAATCTCCTCTCACCCCTCAGTGTGACCCCAAACCCATTCCCTGCTCCCGGATGGGATTTTTGGGGTGGGGGGCGCAGTTTTGGGGTCTCGGTGCCCTGCGGGATTCCCTGGACGTTCCCTGGGCAGTTTTGGGGTGCGGGGCACAGTTTTGGGGTCTCCTGGGTGACCCCAAACCCATTTCCTGCTGCGGGCTGGGATTTTTGGGGTGCGGGGCGCAGTTTTGGGGTCTCGGTGCCCTGGGGGACTCCCGGACGCTCCCTGGGCAGTTTTGGGGTCACCCAGGGGTGCTGCTGGCGCGGGGCCACCCCGAGCTTTTGGGGTCAGTCCCCTGGCCGGTGTGGGGCGGGATGTCCCCAGGGTCCCCAGCTGCAGGGGACAATCCCCTCCGGAGCTGGGGACAGGGGGGGCTGGATGGGGACAGCGTCCCCCGGTCTGTCCCCAAGGCTGCGCCTGGACGGTGGCACGAGGGCCACCCGTGTCCCCAGAGCGTTCCTGTCCCCCTGTCCCCAGAGCGTTCCTGTCCCCCTGTCCCCAGGAGCTGTTCTGTCCCCCTGTCCCCAGGAGTGCTCCTGTCCCCGTGTCCCCAGAGCGTTCCTGTCCCCCTGTCCCCATGAGCTGTTCTGTCCCCGTGTCCCCATGAGCTGTTCTGTCCCCTGTCCCCAGAGTGTTCCTGTCCCCGTGTCCCCAGCGGGCGCTAATCCCGCGTGGCTCCCAAAACCACCACAAAGTGTCCCCAGCGAGCGGGAGGTGACAATCCCCGCGCTCATGTCACCAGCTCGGGCCACCCAGAACGCGACACCTCGGGGACAAGCCACCTCCTTGTATGGCTGGGGACAGAGGTGTCGCCGGGCGGGACAGAAATAGCGCGGGCAGGGCTGGGGGGACAGCGGGTGGCACCTCGGGGGTGGCACCTCGGGGTGGGGACACTGCGGGGGGCTGCGGTGGCACGGATGTGCTCCTTGGGGACAGATGTCCTGTGGGGGGTGACCCCAGGGGTGGGGGTGTCCCAAATGCTCTCTTTGTATGGCTGGGGACAGAGGTGTCGCCGGGCGGGACAGAAATAGCGCGGGCAGGGCTGGGGGGACAGCGGGTGGCACCTCGGGGGTGGCACCTCGGGGTGGGGACACTGCGGGGGGCTGCGGTGGCACGGGATGTGCTCCTTGGGGACAGATGTCCTGTGGGGGGTGACCCCAGGGGTGGGGGTGTCCCAAATGGGGGATGGGACAGGAGGGGACAGGAGGGCCCCGCAAGGTCACCGAGGGCCACCGCGCCAGGCCGGGAATGTCACCGGCACGCGGGCACGCGGCCGGCGGTGACAGCAATGTCACACAGCGGCTGGGCTGGCACGCGGGCCCGGCCGGGGGACAGCGACAGCGGCTGGCTGTCCCCAACCGCGACACGGGGCTGTGTCCCCTGTCCTGTCCCCAGCAGTGACACGGGCTGCTGTCCCCTCCCTGTCCCCAGCAGTGACACGGGCTGCTGTCCCCTCTCTGTCCCCAGCAGTGACACGGGGCTGTGTCCCCTGTCCTGTCCCCAGCAGTGACACGGGCTGCTGTCCCCTCCCTGTCCCCAGCAGTGACACGGGCTGCTGTCCCCTCCCTGTCCCCAGCAGTGACACGGGCTGCTGTCCCCTCTCCTGTCCCCAGCAGTGACACGGGGCTGCTGTCCCCTCTCTGTCCCCGCCCTGGCGCCGCTGTCCCCGCGCTGTCCCCGCGGGGCTGGTGGCCCCATCTGCTGTCACACCTTGGGGACAGCGCTGAGGGCGCAGCGCCCCGGGGCCGCCCGATGAGCTAATGACTTAATGAGCTAATGACTTAATGACTTAATGAGTTCATTGGGGCCAGCAGCTGCCCCGAGCCGGCGGCGCCAGCATCGCCCCGAGGCCACCACATGTCCCCAGGTGCCACCACGCCCCAGGGACGGGACCCGGGCAGCTGTGGCAGGGCTGGCAGAGCTTTTCCAGGAGGAGAATTCCCAGCGCCAGCCGCACCCTCCTGCCGTTCCCAAACCCCAAAGCCCAAACCCCAAATCCCAAACCCCAAATCCCAAACCCCAAACCCCAAACCCCACCCCACAGATCCCCCTTGTCCTGTCCCAGCTCCCTCAGCTTTCCCTGCTGCTCCACATCCCAAAAATCCCCTCATTTCTGCCTGCATCCCCAAAAAAAATCCCAAATCCTTGCGGGATCCAGGATTTAGGGTGAGTTTAGGGCCCATCAGGTTTAGGATTTGCTCACATTTCCACCTTTTTTTTAAAATTTATTTTGACACCCCCAGCACATCCAGGATGAGTAAAAGCCATTTAGGATTTCCCAAAACCCCTAAGACATCAGAATTCCCTGTGCCCATCCTTTAATTTCAATATTTACCATCATTCCTTCAATTCTGTATTTTAAATTCCTTCATTTCCTTCATTTCTTTAATTCAAAGTGACCAATTCCCCTGATTTTGGGGCTCACCCCAAAAGCTGCTTTGGGTTCAGCACGGATTTTCCCTCCCAAATCCTTTTCATCAGGAAGGATCCTCAGGCTGGAATTGGTAAAACAGCCCCAAATCCACGGAATTCGGCTGGGAATTGGATGCAGGAATTTAGGGATTCTTATTTTTTTTTGGGAAAATCCAACCCCAGGGAGTCACTTTGGCTGGATTCGATTTGGGAACCCAAAATTCAGCTGAGGGTGTCTGCCAGGCTTCCAGCAGCCCCAAACCTCCTCAGAATTCCCTGGAAATGGGGCAGGGCTGGTGCCACCCCTGCTGTGGGATTTGGGGAATTTTAAGGGAATAATGGCAGCTTGCAGGGGGTTTTCTTTGGGTTCCAAAGGTGGTTTTGTAGGACATGAACCTGGATTTGGGGACAGTGACTCGTTCTGTCCCGAGGGGCCTGAACCCATGGGAAAATCCCGGGATTCCTGCTGCTGCTCCGGAGGAAATCCCACTGATTTGGGGTGGGGGGGACCTTAAATCCCAACAATCCCACCCCATCCACGGCAGGGACACCTCCCACTGTCCCGGGTAGATCCAACTCCATCCCAGCCTGGCCTTGGGCACTGCCAGGGATCCAGGGGCTGGGAATTCCTGGGAATTCTCTGGGAATTCCATTCCAGGCAGGAATTCCCTGCCAAGATCCCAGCCCAATCTCCCCTTGGCCAGTGGCAGCCATTCCCTGTGTCCTGTCCCTCTGTCCCTTGTCCCCAGTCCCTCTGCAGCTCTCCTGGAGCCCCTGCAGGGACTCTGAGCATTCCCGGGATTTTTCCCTTCTCCAGGGGAACATCCCCACTTTTCCCAGCCCGGATCCAGAATCCTGGAATGGTTTGGAAGGGGCTTTAAATCCCAATAATCCCACCCCATCCGTGAGCAGGGACGCCTCCCACTATCCCGGGTTGCTCCAATTCCTTTCCAACCCCACCTCGGACATTCCAAGGACGGATAATTCATCCCAAGAATCCTCATGGATGTCAGCGCCTCGGATGCCTCATGGTTTTTCCCGGGATTACTGGGGAAATTGTCTCTCCATGGACCCCTCAAAGAGAAATTTGGATTAAATCCGCGTGGCTTGAGCAGCGCTCCTGAAGCTCCCACAGCCGCTGAGGGAGGCTGAGGTGCAAACCCAACCTGAGGCTGCTAGTGCTCTATTTAGGGCAAATTTTAACCCAAACCAACAATTCCCGACAGCCAGATCCCATTCTTGCAATGTAAAAATGTTGAATTTATGGATTTAAACGCCAGAGTAAGGAAAAAATGAAGTCTTAAGTGTTAATTGACGAGCAGGGGAACAAAACAGCTCCTGGTCCCTCAGGGACGGGCCGGGCTCGGCAGCAGGGCGGGAAGGGCTGTGCTGCACACAGCAACGCAGCGAGGGGGCCACAAAGGACAGGCTCGATAACTGCGAGCAGAACACCCTGCGGGAATTACAAAAACAACGGCAAAAGCGGCAAAAATACAACAACAAAACTAAACAAAACCCGTCGGGCACCAGCGCCGCTCTGAGGCGGCGCGCGCCGCCGCCGCCCTTTTATAGGCGGGCGCCTCCCAGCATGCCCCGCGGCGGGGGGCCAGCTCGCCTTTTGCACACGGCGCGCACGCGCGGCTCCCCCCNCCCCCCCGGCGAAGCCCGCGCTGCCTCCGCGCACGCGCAGAGCGCCCCCGGCGCGCCGTGTCCCCCCGCCCGCCGCTCCCGGGGCTCTCCCCGCTGCTTCCTCCCGCTTTTGGGGGCTCCCTCCCGCTTTTGGGGGCTCCCTCCCGCTTTTGGGGGCTTCTTCCCGGCTCGTCCCGGCGGCGGGGGACGCGGGGAGAGCGGCGGCTGCGCGCCGGCGGAGGTAGGAGGCGAGCGGCGGCCGCCCCCCCTCAGCGGTGAGGGCTGAGGGGAACGCGCGTAATGGCGGCTGTGGGGGGGCGGCTGAGGGGCCCTCATGAGGAGCTTCGGGCTGTGGGTGTTTGTTGTTTATTTATTTTTTTACCCATTCTCCTTTATTCTTTTATTCTCTAGTCCCTTTGTCGTTAATCTTTTATCCTTTCTCTTTCGGCACGCGGATAAAGCCGCCCCG